CTGACTTATTGCTCCGTCTGCTTGACCAACTATCCTTTCTCTAACAAAATCTGAGTTCTAGGCATGTCCGCCAAGATAATTAGTGTGCGGACCATTTGCATTTATATAGTGCTCTGTGAACACAAATTAGTTAGCATAAATCAGTTAAATGACGAACAAATAGGTGTCTATTTACTTAAGACCACTCAGTGTACATGCATCAATTTAGTGGTCGTACTCGAATTGCTTGAAGAGTGTTGATAGACAACAGAATGGTGCAGCTGCTGTGACTCCAAATCTATCATTGACAACTATGGGTCCATTCTAGTACTCCTGGTGCCAGTTATGAGCTATGTTGATCAAGTAAAACATGCTACCGAGTGAAGAGCAAGACTCTGGCCAACCAAGACATTATACGAACTGACACATCACTTCATATTCATCTTCAAGAACTTGAAGAGTAAAGTCGTTTGTAATGAAGTTTTCCTGAGAATACTCTTTAGCCAAACTTTACAATAAACGTCCTATAATCATTCTCTTCATCCATTTCTGGCCAGAAAGATGGGTATTACATTTCATTCATTGGTTATAACAGGACAGGTGTTTGGGAGTTGTGGTCATATAGCATGTGCCAAAAGTTTGTCATTTTATTATCATAAGTTAGATGTTGTATCACAATAAACTCCTGCATCTTGTTGAAACCTGGAAGGAAAGTAGTATCTATGTAATCTGAGCCATCTGTTCATGGTTTTGGGGTGATGTGGACTTTGTATGACACCATGGGTAACAAATCTAGAGATCTTTTCTTGGACTTATTGCAAGACTTAATGGCAGAAGTTAGACTGAAGTCTCTGGGTTTGAATGCTGTCATCAACTTAAACTGTTTCTCCAATAAAGGCCAGTAGCCCTTTTCTTCATCTACACTCTCAGCTGTCTATAGCATTTTAGATGTAGCAAAGAAGCTGATTCCTGAAAATTCAGTATCTCCATTCACAATAGCTTCGAGCAAAGCATCATGGATAAAGATATATTGATCTTGGGTCTGAACCATAAAGTTCATCTGCTGTCGTATGGGCTTTAGCTAAACAAATACATTTATATTGTTGGTGTTTAATCTGCTTTAACATAGCATCATTATCTATGTACATTCCAATTCTTCCAACCCCCGCATTATAGTGAACTGTAAGTGGACCTACATTTGTAGTATTAACAGCAGAAGATTTGTGTACAAACCTCTACAGAGAGGCAGAGGATTATCATAAACATCATGGTCGAGCCAGTTAGTATTGTAATACCTGTACACTGTCCTCTCAGCTGACCATTTTTTTCTTTATCTTTGAAGTTTCGGGTGGTAAAGGTACAAAGGCTTTAGGTTGCCGTGGTTACCTAACTGATCATCTTCACTTGAATGATGCTATACACTTTAGTTCCTTCTTTCGGCCAACAAATGTCACACTTTTTTAGTCCTCCTTCTACAAAGTTGGTAATCATCACAATGTAAACTCGCTGCTCTTAAATCATACATCAGTAGTCATCAAATCTTGAAGGGAATTGTCCTTGAGTGACAATGCAGGCTCGTGCTTTTTCATAACCATCTACGTAGTTGGCACTGATATAATCAAAAAACCTCTTCTGTCCACACAAAAGTTTTAATACAACATAATTGTGGCCATAGGCAATACTTTAACATATCTGTTTTCAGCCATCTGAGAATGTTAAAAGGACAAATTAAGGTCAGTGGCTTAGTGGATTGCCTGATACTCTCAAGAAAAACCCATGATTACCATCAGCGTGTAATTTAGCTACATGATCTGTAATCTGGTGGACTGGGATGAAAATGTACTAAGGATCTTCAAATGCTTCTGAGAGTAGATAAGAAGCTCTGTTTCCTGGAGGGTCATCAATATGACAGTAGTCTGCTTTCATATACTTTCCCCACAAAAGAAAGAATATTATGGCCAGTATAAAAGTAAATGAAATACAGACTATCCAAGGTATAAGACATCATTAATACTGGACTGGGTCAATGGTAAGTTCACTAAAATCTGACAGTTATTCTAAAGAAACACTTTCCGAGACTTGGAGAACTGATATTGGAAAATATTTTATTGTTTTATTTAATATTTTATTTTATTGATAATACTACGGGTTATGCCACAAACCTTTACCTCCTACATGGTGTTAATTTTAAGGTCGGAACTGAACTTCTTTTGAGCTGTTGCATGAACATCTACTTTCATAAACTCTCAAGACTCCTCAGAAGATAATAGACAATATAATGATGAATAGACTTATGGAAAATGTGATCATTCCCTTTCGCTTCAGAAATTTTGTCTTCAATTTTTTTTTCTTTAAGTATTATGTCTCTTTCTTTTAATTCTTCTTTTAAATTCCTGTCATGTTCTTCTTGAACATCTTTCAATTTTCAATAAATTCTTTCTGGGTCTCCTTTTAATCTTCTGTAAATTTGTTCTTAGTCTTCTTTTAATTTTTTTCTTTATTTCTTTCTTCTGATTTTTGTCCCTTTTTTCTTGGTCTTTTTTTATAATTTCCTGACCTTTCTTTCCTGGACTTCTTATAATTTTCTATCACGTTCTTCTTGCCATTTTATAAATTTTTTGTCTTATTCCTCCTGATCTTGTCTTAATAATTTTAGCATTTCAAGTTATGCTTGAATCTCACTGTTTGACTTCATGGTCATTATCTTGAACAGATAGAGTTATATTTCCAATATATTCAAATTCCCATTTAATTCCTCCGAAAATAACCCACTTTTAACATGAAATTTTGTAAAGTCGTTCTTAGTGAACAAGTTGTTCTTTTAAATTATAGGCCTGGCATGGCCAAATGGTTAGGGCGCTCGACTCGCAATCTGAGGGTCACAGGTTCGAATCTCCTTCCCACTAAACATGCTCGCCATTTCAGCCATGGGGGCATTATAATGTGACGATCAATCCCACTATTCGTTGGCAAAAGAGTAACCCAAGAGTTGACTAACTGTAGTCTTTCACTGCTAAATTAGTGACGGCTAGCGCAGATAGCCCTCGTATAGCTTTGCGCGAAATTCAAAACAAACCAAACTTTTAAATTATTTGGTGAAAATAATCCAACGTTAGGTTCGCATGACGATAACAAGCTTGAACATTTGTACTATGTCTTGTACACATACGAATGTTGTAGGCCTATGTTACAAGTGTTGTTAACTAATGTGAAACAAATCAGCATACTTGTACTACTTTACTCAATATGTTCGATAGGAAACATAGATCCCAATACTTCACGAAAACTGATTGGCTTAACTTTATCTCCTTATAACTCCAAACTGTTTTAACCACATTTTTGATTGTATTTCAACTCAGTCTTTAACTAATCTCTCGACGATTCTCGGAATGTGTATTTATTCTACACTTGTTCTAGATATTTCTAGGACTTGTTTAATCTTGTCATTAAGCGCCCTTAGCTAACATCTAAATTAAACATTATAGATATAAGGTACAACACACTGATTGTGGTTAAGCGCCTCTGTCCAACTGTTTTTACTACACTAAGTTCATATGGTCAATGACGTTTTTTTTTTCATTCTTAATTATCAGTTAATCATCTGCCAACTAAATCCTTTAATCGTCATTATATTGTGTAAGTAATTTATCCGTGATTTAATCCACTGACACTGAACACCACACTAGCATCGCGTAGCAACTGCACGCCATTTTTAAACTCGAGGATATCTTAATAAATTTAATATATTTTAATTCTTAAACTATGTATGTATTAAGATGTTGCTGTTTTCTTGTTACTCTATATATAAAGTTTGTTTGGGTTTTTTGGGAAGGGCCACGATGCAAAATTTTCTATCACTAGATTTTCTTTATGTAGCTCTAATAAAGTAAAATTACTAGATATATAATATATAAAAATGTTCATTGTTAAAATATTTCCATAAAGTTAAAATTACTTGTCAAATGCCATACTAGAGCTTTTTCACTAACTTAACAAACACTGCTCGAAGTTGAAGTTAAACACCTCGTAGGTTGTTGAGTTTTTCGTGATTTTTGTGCTTGTTTATCCTTTATTAATTTTATTTTCTCAGTGGGGTCTGTTATGGACGAAATTAATCTTCTTTATTTATTCAATGCTACCGTTTATCAGAGATCAGCATTTAGTATATAATCTTTATCCAAGAGATATTTTTAGAACATGACTTAAGAAGTGCAACGTTTGTTTCTTGGTCTAGCTATTATTCTATACATTCTAGGCCTAAAAATAGGATTTCAACTGAAAGCAAGAAATATTTTGTAATAAAAGCAGACTTTATTTCTTTATATTTGACTGCAAGAAGGCTATTGCTTCCGAGTCTTTTTATAGACGAGATGTTGTTGTTGGCTGTCTTTTGATATATATATATATATTATATATATTCCTGACTTTTATTATTGTATAATTCTTACCACCACGCCCCATCTTGACTTACAAACGTTCTAATCTTCATACAAGAACTACAGTAGTAGACTTATATATTTCTGTTAAATTCTATTTTTATGAACAAAGTGGATATTAACTTAGCTAATAAAATTGTTAAAACGGATTCATTTCATAAACTACTTTTAAAGAAGGTTTTTTTCTCGCATATGGCCAATTCTCCTCTGTGCGTGCGTATCTACGTGGTTAGTTTCACGTATTATAATGTTTACCTAATACTTGTTTGCAGTTTGATTTTTTTTAATCAAAATATATTGAACAAGCTTTCATGTTGGGCCATAACTTTGGTTCCAAAATATGGGAGAAGGGACAGTATGTGATTGCTGTATGCTGTGCAGGAATCCTTTGATTCAATACTATTGGTGTTGAAATGTGATGAGGATACTCCCCAGTTAATAGAAATTGAGAGGAAAATATCTCCTCGCCTCCCTCCCTTCTGTAAATCACGCCTATATATGTGAATAACTAACGTTTAGATAATAACATGTTTCACTGGTAGTGCCAAAACACACTGAGAAAGTAGACAAATAACTTTTTATTTAATCAATCTTTTATGAAAACGATAAATACAAAAATATAAGTACACATTGAGCATTAGTCTGGTACTTCTGGGGGATGTTACAGCACATCCAGCAAAAAAACATACAAGCCAACTTGATATTACCATTAACAGCTCTTGTAAAGATATATTTACACTACTAAATTAGTGAAATATAATACTAAGTCAGTTTTGTTACTATGTTAGATGGTTAAACGTACAGTATTATACACCTATGTTACGAAGAAAAATTATATATATATTCGAATTTTAAATTGTCATCTAACGTTGATGAAACAAATGTTAATTGTTTACAAGTAACTTGAATACTTAAGTTTGTGTTCTTTTCGTCTTGGTCAAATCATAATGTATACAAGCTTGTCGTTTTGGAAAGGTTGGTTTCAAACGTGTCTGTTGTTTAAAGCATTTGTCAAAATATCTATTTTGTATTGTATATATGAACTGATTTTCATTGATAAATTGAGAACATTTTTATTTCGTCTCGCAAATAGTATAAAAGTTGTAATAATGTGAAGATCAATAATATAAATTTAAGTAGAATCTTGTACTTTAGAATTTTGTGTTTCATATATGAATTTAAAAAACATAATACGAGTGACTTCTGTAAATGACACGCAGAATTCAACCTATAGATACCCAAAGGTTGAATGTGTATTTGGAATAGGTTCACGTACTTATGTTTTAAACTTAAAGGATTTTTCCTCTTCGATTTTTACCAGCTTCTGCATCAGTACTCTGAATTTCATCTGAGCAACTCACCTTTACTAACTACATGTACAAAGCTATTAAAAGCAAGCAAAACAGTTTTTATTTTAAAAAAGCGCAAATAAGTTTATTAAAAGGCTGAACATCATTAAAATAAGAACGGGCCCACCTTCATGAGAGGTATTAAATTTATTGGGTTGAAACCTCAATGACTGAAGACACTTAGTTTGATAAAACAGTACGATTAGTTATCAATATTAGTCCACGTAAAAAAAAAAAAAAAGCTAGGCCTACGAGCTTCTAGGTTTAAGATTTTCATTTCGGCCCATTGCATGGATTTAAGCTTTATAACAATATTTTGTTGTTTTTTTTATCATAATAATTATTGTAAGTTTTTGGGTGCATGTTTACCTTGTTGTAGAGTTTGGGATTTTAGAGCTGATAAGCCGAGTTCACATCTGTGCGGTACCACAAAATATTCCCCAACTTTAAGCTGTGGGTGCGCGTTACAAGAATGACAATCGATCCTATAGCGTGGGTGGTAAGTGGTATTGTGCTGCTGACTGGCTGCCTTAAGTCTGATCAGTAGTTCAAAATTCGGGACGGCGGCAGATAGCCATAAATACAAAATACTGATTGCACTGTGTATTTCAATGGTTTCTAAACAATTGTGTAATAATTTAATATTAAAAAAAGTATAATCTTGAGACCTATATGACACAAAGAAGATGACGTATTAGAGCATCGAAACATGTCGAGTGTAATGATGAATGTAGACCAGTTCCAAATAAAAATGTTTACTGTGTGAACAACAAGAAGTTCTTATTTTTAACATTAGTATTTATTTACATTGCTATGTTCTTAAAATAAGTAAACAACGGAACATCTTTACACTCAACACTAAAAAATGTACTTTATCACTCAGTCATACTGTCATAAACAAAAAATAAATGGATTACAAAAAAAAAACAAGATACTTACATCTTATTAAAAAAGTTAATCCACACGTTGTTCAGGTTATGATAATTATAATTTTTGAAAATAAGTTTGTTAAGTATAAACAAAAGTTAAACATCTTATATTTATTTAAAGTAAATTATTCTATTTTTTCGATGTACAAAATAAAATAAAACATAATATTTACAAATAGTGAATTAGACAAAAAGTCATGTTAACATGTTTGTCAAGAAGTTAAATGAAATAATATTTACATAAATTCGTACATTACAAAAGCTGTTAATTACTTTTATAGATGGGATTTATTAAGATATTAATACACGTTTTTTTGGTGGGATTCTTTTTATATGCTTGTAGGATTCTACTAATTTTCTCCCAGAATTACAAATTAATAGTGTGGTATTTTTAGTAAATTATAAGAATGTTTGATTTAAAATTTACTGGGTCAAACACTTCGAAATACGATTATTTTTAGACGTTCTAGAGGATTCGATTTTTATATTCTTTATACATATATCGAAATAAACTTAAAAATACATATAAAAACAATGATCGATATCTTTCTCTTTTCGTCTGAATTTTATCCTTCTAATTCCAAAACTTAATTATTTTATGAATAATGACCATATTAAGTTTTTATGCTTAAACAAGTATTAGTTAATGACTTAACAATGTGGTTGAACCTCAGTACCGTGATGCAGAAGTACGTGTAGTTGTTATAATTAAAGTTTGTTTTTTACTACTTTTAGCAACGTCTTTGAGTTCTGAGTTGGAAACACATACACGTAAGTAGCATTTTTTTTACTTCTAGCAGCCTTGAGCACCGGTTGTCCTTGAGGTCTACCTTGTTCTTAGGAATGCAGGTTTCGCCTCGAGCCTTAAAGCTGGGTTACAGTTTTTCAATCTAACTATGCATTGCCCACCCTCTTTGCATTACAGAAGAGTTCTTTCTCTTCAAATATAACAAATATCTCCCCACTTTAATACGAATACATTATTTTCAAGCCTTTTGTTTTTCAACTTACGTTTGAGATACTTGGCACAATTGTAATGTGCACTGTCTCGAAAACCCATAGAAATATGTTTAATAAGGAAGTTCCAGCCGCGGTGGTGGAGAATCTGAAGTGTGGCTACCAGTAGAACTGATATTTGAGTTTTCGCTAGTAGTTATGATGACTGTTTTGGTTACATCTCCTTCAGCACTTCGTACCGTGTAACCAGAAATCTCAGGAGTAAATCCTTTTTTGGAATATTCGATAACATTTCCAGAGCTAGTGAATGGAATTTCCACAGCTGTTTTGAATAAGCTCGAAGATGTTTCACTATAATTTTCATTAATGGTATCGGTGTACTCTTTAACTTTATTTTCACTTTCATCTCCAAAGCTCCAGGATTCGAAATCAGTGCTTTCGGTAGGATATTTTGCAGTCGCTTCTGTAATCATGTTTGTGTAGGTTCTTGATGTGTTTGCCTGTTTAAGCAAATATTCATTGTGGGAGATCATGACTCCATCTAGTTCGTGCTTATTAATTTCGATTACTTCTTTATTTTCAGGTCTGGGCACGGGGGACAGAGTTGGGGGAGAAGAAGCAAAATATGTTTCATTTTTGTCTTGATGACGAATGACTGGTGGTATAATGGGTATATCTACAGTGAAAGCGGAGTTGTCCTTCCTACCGGTATGAGCAGCACTGGCGTTCACGATCTTTGGATTTTTAAAAGAAAAATCTGGGCTACTGTCTGTTTGAGGAGAAACATGATCCTGTTTCGAACTTTTGTCATCGAAAGAAAGATCTGATGTCAAATGAATGGTATCTACTTTGATTACTCTTCTAGCTGGGGTGGAAATATTTTTATCTTCTTCATAATCACTGTGACTCGATACACTAGATATGGAACTTGATTTGCTTACTGTAGATGCGTTCGATATGGAATCTAAATTTAAAGTTATGTCAGGTTTTATAGTGTGTTTCATTACTGTATCGTCTGTAGCTAAAACGTCTTCTTTGCTGTTGCTTACATGTGGAGTTTGCGTAATATCAGGTTTCTTTAGATGTTTTGCTTCTATCTCATGAGTTGGAACCTCTGTCTTTTTTACAAATTTCCTAACTTTTTGAACTGGGAGAAAAACATCTTCGTGTTCTGTTGGATCAAAATTTGGAGGTCTTAAAATTTTGTTCTGTTCTCGTAAATTCTCTTCTGGAAGAAGTTGTTTCTGAAAGTCTAAAGACACAGCTCTCTCTAACAAAGTTGGAGACTGGCTCACAGCTTCTTCAAGTTTATTAATATCGCCCAAAGAAGAAGACCTTCTTCGAACTTTTTCTTCTTTATCACCAGTTTTCATAAAATCTCTAGAAATTTCAGAGTCACCATTTTGGTTATGATTAATTATTTTAGGCAATTCAAGGTTTTTTAAACTAACTATTTCGTCAGAACCAGCTGTACCATTTGTTACCAGATTTAATTCTTTAACAGGATTATTTCCGTTCTCAAAATTCTTTGCTGGTGACAACAAATTATTATCTTCTGGAATATGTCCGATGTTATTTTCTTCTCCAAAACAATGTACCAGAGCTTTTGTTTCCATCGCTACGCCATAAGATGAGTGAGGAGGTTTCGGTGGAGCTGGTGCCTTTCTTTTTCCTGGGGTAGCCGTTTTTCGAGGAAGAGAGAGAGTTTTCTCCTCTGATATGTCACTTGATGATTCGTTTTCTGCCTCTTTTAGGGGCTCTTTTTCTCTGTTTCGATTTTCCTCCTGACATACAAAAATCCTCTCCTCTGGTTTAACATAATTTTCTTCTAACGAATCGTGAATATCAGGAGATTGCTCTGCTTTAGGAATATTGGCAGAAGCGATAATGCTGCCAACTTCCTCCTTTTCACTTGGTTTTGGAAAGCGAGACGTAAGGTCAGGAAAGTTATCATTTCCATTATTACCCATTTGGAAAGATATATCTTCTGTTTTTCTTTCCTGATATGACCTTGTCGACATTTTCTTAGAAATGTCGTCCTCTCCCATTGCAGAAGCCAACATGCGCTCATTCAGTGAGCCTGTTATCTTTGTTGACGGTCTTTCAACGCCTTCTGAAAGCGTCTCTCCATTTTTATAATCCAAGTGTGATCTCAACCTTTGGGCTGCAAGTCCGATACTTTTAGACCGTTTAGGCGATATTCCATGAGAAGGGATTACATCTTTACCAATTTGTGTTAGGTCATCAATAGACTGACTTCTATACAAAGGATGGAAAAGTCGTTGACCTCCGCCACTGAAACTAGAAGACCCTAGACGTTTGCTCTCAGAGGGCGATGACATAACTTGATTGCTTTCGGAGACTTTTTCTAGTTCCAGTTGAACATCATATGGAGAAGCATAGCTTAATATTGTTAGGGCGTCCTCGTATACCATGTTCGAAAAAGAGACGTTAACGCTTAAGATACGATCACCTAAAAACAAAACAAAACTTAGGACAGGGTTTAATACAATAATTTGACTACTTACGACTATTTATTTAGAGTAATAAAACGTTTCTCACTTTAGTGATAAAATACTATAAAAAAAAGAAACTAGCAATTTTTAATAACTGTATGTCACATGCCAGGTTATGTGTTTGAATTGTGAAAACATAATACAACAGCATAATTTATGAACCGAAGCTGACTAGTTATGTGTATTTGTGTAAAAATTACGTTTTAATTGATACATGAGGTATTTTTGTATTTTTCAACCTCAATACAAGACTAAAACGCGATCCTCTTGGAAATATATGAACATCTTTAGTCTATAAGCAACGTTCCACAGATGTTCTCGTTGTCAAAATCTGAAACAATGGAATAGTTCTTGTGTGTTATTACCTTATCTAGGCCTACAGTTAATGTCTCATTCCTACTGTTACACCTTATCGGTAGAATAATACAACTGAACAACAGCAAGTTCAATTTATATCACGCTTTATCTGTTAGAACAAAAATACCCAGTTTGTGGACGTAAGAACAGGTCAATATCAACATAAAAATAATGTGTATTGACTTTCCATAAAACTCAACTGGTTTCTTTCCCATGTTCAATCAAGAAAGCCATGCCCTAAACATTCAAGCCTCTGCATTTTCGTTTGTTATTTTGTGCCTCAACTGGATGAGAAAGCAATTTTAAGTGTATAAACAGAAAAAAATAATAATGTGTTTCAGAGCCTACATTGAAAAAAAAATATATAAATCATGTTGATCTAAGGATAATTAACAATGGAACAAAAATAAATAGACGATTTTTGCAATGTCTCTCTCTCTCTCTCTCTACATGTATATAGATATGGTTGTATTCAGAAAATTAGGAAATATCTAAGATCTGATGAGACAGATAAAAAGAGTGGACTTCTACTGAAACTGTATACACGCAATCCAATTACATAATGTGTGTGTATGAGTACAAAGAGGATTTGGTATATTACAATATTCAGAGAAGCAGTTCCTGTTACTATACGGAAGTATTGTACAAACATCCTTACTTAAGTCCCCTCATTTTGTTTTAGATCTCTATTTCTTTAACATTGTTCAGGTGTATCAATAAAGACTACATTGGTTTATAAAACTTAGGGAACTCCATTATATTGTTACAATTCTAATGCTTTGTAAGACATCTCAATTCACGATATTAAATTATGAGAAAATCTCATGATAATCACACTTTCCCTCCCCCTATAAATTTCGGTTGGTTTACAATTTTCCCAATTTGAATTGAGTTTTTCGTCCAAAATAATGACTCACTCTAAACAGATAAAACTTCCAAAATGAACTTGATATATGTGACAAAAGGATAAAAAAAAAGTTAAATAAAAAAAGATTACGATAAAAAATTGTCACTTCAGTTGGTTATTAATCTGCTTATTTTCACATTTTTTCGTTTGTGTTTTTCTCTGAATTTCATCATGTCTTGACCCCACTATATCAAAATAAGCCAAAACTAACACTCTAATTGTAAATATTCCAGAGGAAGCATGTCTCAGAACCTCCCTATCTTCCACCTGCCTACCAATGAACAGGTGAAACAATAATTATTATTCAAACTATGATACTGTCACCGAAATGACAAACGCACTAACAAAACTAAAGTGTTTCCACTAGATGTGAACTGAACCCATCAGTTCCGCTGATAATGTTATTTTCGGATAACTAAGGATGGCCTTGTTTATTGAGCGAATAATTTTTTAGGAAGAATTTTTGTACTGAAATAGCCATGTGTAACTACCTATACATAAATAATACCGGAACTGAGAAGGGTAAGTAACTAAAAAAGTTATACAATTCGTCTCAAACAATTACACTACTACATAACAAATAACTATATTATATATATTATATATTTTGCGATGAACTCCTGTCTATACATGAAAACATAAACATGTATAACAATACTATACTACGGATAACAATAGTACTTCAATTCTGGAATATCAAAGCTTAAGGACGCGAGATGCGTTAATTAACGCTTGAATGAATACGCTAGTGTGTGAAATTTTTACCTGCTCTTATTCTTCCTGATTCGCTGGCAGGACCTCGGTGTAACACATCCTTCACAAAGATGCCGTCCCTCATGTTTCCGAAGATGTTGAAGCCCAGACCGGAGAAATCATGGCCTCGCAACGGTACCATCACTCTTTCTGGTTCCTGGAATTCATGTGATATAAACATGTGATAACTTTAATGTTAGCGAATTCAGCAAGTGAAGTGAAAATCACCTGACTACCCATTGCAACTTGCGCTTATTCGTTTTGAGCACATGTGCGGGAACTCAAAATACTGAGCATTTGACGATGTCCCCACATTACGAATGTATCACAGACAATTTGTACTCAGGTCATGGAGATACAAGTCCGATTAAGAAACACGTGAAAATTCTGATGAAAGATAAGAAGGAGACTAAAATAATAACGTAATTCTAATGTTTTGATTGAGTTTCTCTATGATATATGATAACTTAACATACAACAGACTGTATAAGTTTGGATAAAATTATACAACTTTGCTAAACACGCAGAAATAGTTCCAGACTCTATAAAGTATAAAAAACTCAAAGTATATGAAATAATTTAAAGATTAAAATATTAAAAAATTCATATCATTTATTTTAACTCAAGATGTTTTCCATTGCCTTGACTCATGAGTTCTTAGAATTACTAATGTAGTTTTCTCCCGTTGACTCAGTGGTTATTCGACCCACTCAGGGAACTATAAGACGAGTATAGTAATGAATGAATAATCAGTGTTCAAAATAAAATAAATAATGCTGTGTTATTAATTCGAAACATAAATAAACCTCATTTTTAAGTGACTTAAAAATTATAATAATTACAAATAATTTGCTTAATATAGTTGAGACCATAACAGTTGATGTTTATAGCACCTAGACCACTATTATGTTTGTTACATCCCAGCCGATCTAATGAGCCTCGATACTAGGCGAAAGACTTTGTCGGCACTAGATATGGCCGATGTAATGTGGTTGAGGTTTTATAACATATTCTGTTTTGCTTTCACTCATGGGCTGTTAGCATTTACTGAAGAATTTACAATGATGCTATTAATTGGATGGTTAAATTCACGATAATATAGTGGGAATTATCACGTTCAGAATGGGAGGGGGACTGATAAATCCCTGGCGCTTTAGACAGATCCGTGCAGTATTTTTATATACTTTCTAAACCAAAAGACAATAAAAGTCTGCATGTATGTAATCCAATCAAAAATATCTTTAGTGTTTGGCTTTTATGAATGTGACCAATTACAACTGATCGTTAATAGCATTTTTATGACTTATGTACACTGAAACTAAAACGTTCGTGTTGATTAATATGGTAGGTTTCTATTCACGATGAAACCAAGTTTTGTTTTTATATCATGCATGTTCAACTGTTTAGATTGTAAGTAATTCTGTTGAATTCGTTCAGTGATAACTTTTTTTTTTACTAATGTCACTATTTTTAAAAAGCAAATACACTTCTAGATAAACCTATAAATTAAAATATCATATTTTGTCGAACACCCTTAAGAAACTTATCGTAGTGACCTCACGTTTTCATTCAGAGTAATTGCTTGAGAAAAACAAACTGACGGTGTCTCACATGAACAATAATACTAAACACAAAAAAAGAAAACAAAAGGTTTTCAAAAAAAATCTGATATGCTTTCAAAACACACTGCGTTATTCAGTATATTGATCAGAGCTATGCTACGTTTAACAGCATAATCCAAGTGATTTTAACCATTAACTAAACGTCAAGAAGTTTTGTTTTTTAATCACAATTCCTAGCGAGCACGATCGTGATAACGTCCAATATTGTTGAGCTATACCCGGTGCAAAGATTTTCAAAAGATTGCTGTATCTATAATTAAATGAGCAATTAATCTTTCCAGACTTTACTTCATATTTTGTATACTAAACCTTATCTTCTTTTCTTTTCTCAATTTCTTTTTAGGTATATTAAAAATTAATCACTGTATTTAAAATACCCGAATTGTATTGTTTGAATTGATATACCCCTAAGGGACTTTTAGCGCTCCAGTGCACTTCTTTCAATGAGCTATACCCCATTTGGCTTTTCTATCTGAACAGTTATAGGTTATACCTATGTGACTTTTAACAACAAACGCTCTAGATGAAATAGTTTTTTTTTTGTTGTTGTTTTTTCAGGAGGACTTGTTCCATAATATCTTATTGTAAATCTTTTGTAACTTCTAGACTGTGAACAGATATATTCCTTCTATCAATGAATAATAATCATGGTTATATTTTAAATGAAAGTTTTTGAAATATTAACAGCTTCAAGCCACAAAACGCCTTTACCAGACGTTTCACCCAGAACAGTACTTTTATAGAATTCCTGAATTAAGTCGAGTAGCAGCAGGAACAATTTTATAATAATGTTTTCTTCGACAATTCCTGAGGAGAAAAATAAAATGTTAAAGGTGTGATTTATTTTTTGTTTGGACTCTTACAAATGCTATCTGCATATTTGTGAAGATCGATGTAGGTTAATTTCATCTTAACATTAGGAACATCAAGTGTGCAGTTTGTAATTACATATGTGCGTATAACTATGCTGAATTTTCAACTCCAAGTTTCCATAAAAAGCTAGTTTACTACTCCTGGACTCCAACAATTATAAAATGCCATATAATTCACTGGGGCTTGGATAATTATCCGGAATGTAAATATCTAATTTCAAATACATCTAGGTGTTGGTAGTTTCAACGTGAATGGACCCTTACACGGCGCATGGGCTAGGTCAGTAGCCCTACGTTTCAGATGGCGCCACAGACGACACATGGGCTAGGTCAGAAGCCCTTATGGTTCAGATAGCACCATACAAGACACATGGGTTAGGTCTGTAGCCACTACGTTTCAGACAGCACCATACATGACACATGGGATAGTTCAGAAGCCCCTACGTTTCAAACGGCGCTGGAAATATATGTGAGCTAATTTCTACACGTCTACAAAGAAAAACGTGATTTCACTAGTGGTATGATTAAATGTGTTGTCCAAAAATTCACTCAAACAGAAAGTTTTTAAGGAGTACAAAGTGAAGTGAAGAACATTTAACGAATTCTACGAAGTCTGCAAAATAGTACTTTTACGTTTACGACGTTTCGAAACTGGGTGAAGTATATGACGTTAACGCCTTCACATCTGTAGACAGCGTCATGGCACTTTTACAGATTTGAAATAGTATATACATTTTTATATTTATATAAACACTAAATACTTACTATAGCCAAGTCGGTGTCATCCATTGTTCTGTGTTTCTTATTCAGATAGAATACTGATGTAAATGGATTGGTAAGTGGTAGTCGGCTCTTCTTGTGTTTTTGTGCTGGGACCACCTGGTGGTGAAACAAACATTACTTCATCTAGTAACTGGTTTAGTTTTGTAAACACGTCCAATGTTATGCGCTATTAACGTGCATTACAGGTATAGAACACTAATTTAAGTTTCTTACATTATAAAAATAGTTAATTATTTTATAATATGAAAATAAATTATTGTTGTCTAAATCACTTTTGTATGTCGATGCTATAATACACTTTATTGTTGTATTGGAAAGAACGTATTCATTGATTATTTTCAGCGATTATGTATTTAAAAGCGAGCCTGTAAACAGATACAAATAATAAGGAAAGAAGCAAATTAATTCAGACAATCACAAAACTACATAAAAAGATTAAAGTAGATAAATAAATGAATTAACTGTTCAGTTAAAATCATAAATAATATTCAACGTTAAACTGGTACACA